ATGATCGTACATGAAATACGGCGTCCCCTTCTGCTCGCGATCGAACTCCTCGAACATGAACACCTTCGCAGACGGGAAACGGACCTCGCTCGTGAAGCGCTGAGCCACATTGTTCCCACCAAGGGTGCCACGGTTGGAGTAAAGGTGCGGTGATTGGTACTGCGGTGTGTATGTCGCGATGTCGTCAAAGAGCCAGGCGCTATTTGATTGCTGGTAGCTCGATCCATATGTCCAGTACTGACGAACCGCGAGATCATCCCATCCAGCACTCGATTCGTAATCACCGCTTGGATAATCAATACCGTACGGAATCGTGTTGTCGTCTTCGAGATACTCCAGCGGGTTTGCTTGCCAGCTCAGCTGCTGCGCATCTGCGGGGTCTACCCAGAGCGGATCGGAAACATTGCCTCCCAGATAATCCGCAAGCACGAGGTGCGAGTATCGGCGGTGCATCAATCGCTCGAGCGGAGCGGACAGTCTGCCCTGACCATTAATCCGTCCGGTGCTTCTCCAGAGAATGTCCCGAGCCTGGTACGACGCGGCTTGGCTGTCACTGATAGGAACGATCATGTTCCCGGAGCGGATGTTGAGCTGAGGCACGCCGGCACGCCAGGTGTAGGTAAAGATCCGATCCCCGTTGTCGATCGCGTACATCCCCGATCCCTGACCGATGGTCAGCAGGTTCCCCTCGCTGGTCATCCCCTGCATGCTGGATCTCACTTGGCTCAGCGACGGCGCCAAAACAGCACTGGCGCTGACAACAACCGCCAGCACGGCTGTGAGTTCAATCAATGAAAACGCGCGTGAAGCTTCCTTCTTCATTTGGTGTCCCTTCTCAATTCATAAATAATAAGTCCCTACGACGCATGCGCTGTGCAACGCATCCGATGCAATATCCGTCCCATATTGCATCCGGATGCGATTAAACAGCAGGTTCGTGTTTAATAAGGACTACAACCGTTTCAGGTCGAGCCTAAACGCCTTTTCATCGCTCTGCGCAAGCCCCAATCGGTGATTCCGGGGAACGCGACACTCGCGCCCAGCGCCAGCCGAACGGGCAAACTCGTCCAAACCTCACCTCTGGGCTTGCCGAGACACTTGACGATCGCGCGTGCGACGCGCTCAGGTGGTTGCATGAACCGTTCGCTCGATCCTGCGAGATCCAGGTCCCCACCCGATCTTTTCGCGGCTTCCTCGAAGAACTCCGTCTTGGTCCCGATCGGATGCACGCTCGATACATGAACCCCAGTCCCGAGCAGTTCTAATCGCATCGCTCGGCAGAAGTGGTCCTGCGCTGCTTTGGTGGCGCAGTAGGTGCCGTAGTGCGGGAGTCCGATCTTGCTCAGACAACTCGCGACCATCATCGCGTGCCCCAATCCTTGATCTTTGAATCGAGCAATTGCAGGCTGGACCAAACGGAGTGATCCGAAGAAGTTCGTCTCAAACATCGCGCGAATGTCTTCATGCGATGAGGTGTGGCTCGCTTGTTCGTGTCCGTATCCCGCATTTGCGAGCACGGCGTACAACGAACCGAATCGATCAACACACGATTCGATCGCGCGCGTGCAGTCCTCATCTGAATCCACCGATCCGACAATCACATGCGATCGTTCTTCGCCGATCTGTCCTGAGAGCGATTGGAGTCGATCTTCCCGACGCGCCATGAGCGCGACCTTCATCCCGGCTTTGGCGCAGGCAATCGCCGTCGCGGCTCCGATCCCAGAAGACGCACCACTGATAAGGATCACTTTGTCATTCAGATCAACCACTGGATGATCGCAATAGAGGTTGCGAACTCAGTCCGCGTTCGGATCGAGTGTATCAGCGGCTGAGCTGATGTCTTTTCCGATGCCTCGGACGGTGTTGCACGCGCTCAACGCGAGGATTCCCCCGGCGAAGAGGATCGCGGCCAGAACTTTGGCGGTGTCTCGTACTGTCGAGCGTTTCATTGCTGTGCTCCGTCATTGCTATTGGACGCGCCCTCTCGTTCCGTAGAGCGGGCGCTGATCCAGCGGAGTTCATCCATACCCCAGACTATCGACCAGATCGCATAAAACGCTGCACCGATCGCACAAATCACGAGGACGCGGACTGCCTGGATGGCCCATTGATCTGGGAGTTCCCAGAGTCGTTCAACGCTGAGGATGATGCCACCCATCAGGATCGCACCGATGATGATTTTCAAGACTGGATAAAATGACTTGCGATGTAAATTATTGCCACTATTATTCTTACGACTTGAAACGCGTGAAAGCCAAATTGTTTGCAGGATCGCACAGATCGCTGTGGACCATGCGAGACCCGCTTCCCTGAGCGACCAGATCAATATCAAGTTCAGAACAATATTGACCCCCATCATCATCAGCGCGATCCGCATCGGCGTGCGTGTATCGCCTTGCGCGTAGAACGCACGTGTGTAGAGCTGATTGAGCGAGTACGCCCAGATCGCGATGCTGTATCCGACAAGCACCGCCGACGCTCGGATGATGCCTGATTCGGAGAAGCCTTCCCCGAATCCAGAATACAGCACGCGGATCAACGGCCCCCCCACCACCAACAATCCCACACTCGCCGGGATCCCGATGAACAAACTCAGACGAATACCTCGCGAGAGCATCTCGCGGAATCTTGTCGGGTCTCCTGCGACACGCGACAACGCCGGGAACGCAGCGGTCGCGACGGCGATCCCGAACACCCCGAGCGGGAACTGATACAAACGCTGCGCATAAAAGAGCACAGCATTCGCGGATTCATCGAGCGGATAGTCTCGTCCTCCGATCGTTGGACCAACCCAGTTGGGATACATCGCGATGAGTGTGTCCGCGAAGCTGTTGAGCTGCAGCGTTCCCAGTCCGATCAGCACAGGGATCATGCGGCGCATCATCTGCTTTGCTTCTGTTGACGCGCTACCCATACCGCGTGTCCAACGGACCTTCCCTCGAAGCGCCCAGAGAGACCAAGCAACCTGCAATATCGCAGAACCCACCGCCGCGATCCCGATCGGATACGCCCACACAGCGGGATCCGCATCTTCAACAAAGAAGAACGTCAGCGACGCGCCGATGATGCAAAGATTCAGCAGGATCGGAGCCGCGGCCCATGGACCGAATCGTCCATGACTCTGGAGCATCCCTCCAAGGATCGCCGCGATACAGATCATCGGCATGAACGGGAGCATCACCATCACCAGCTTGAGCGAGTACGCACGCTCGGGATGATCCGCAGAAAGCAAGACAGCAACAAGCAATCCAAGCTCGATCAGCAGCGTGATAATCCCGGTCGTGAGCGCAAGCAACCCGATCGTCAGTGATGCGAACGCGTCCGCTTTCTTTGGATCATCGTCAGCTAAGCGTGTGTACTCAGGAATAAACGCCGCGGAGAGTGCCCCTTCTCCGAACAATCTGCGGAACATATTCGGGATCGCAAACGCCGCGGCGAACGCAGATCCCACCGCCGTATCTCCGAACACACGCACGGTCACGAGATCGCGCACAAGACCGAACACGCGCGAAACGAGCGTCAGTCCCGCGACGGTGCGGGTGTTCTTCCCAAGTGAATGTTGCTCAGCGTTGGATTGCACTGGTTTCAAGATCGGGTATCGGGGTCGGTATGGGCCACTGAATCAGGCATAGATTCGGGATCGATCATGCAGCGTTTGCCGTTCTTGAAAAACCAGAACACAAACAACACAAGCGAAGCGAGGATCGCGCCTGTGAAATCCGCGGTAAGATCGAGCCAATCAAACACCCTATCGAATAAGGGCTGGGTAAGTTCATCGAATGCACCGAATCCCATTCCAATAAGCCCCACGAGTAATGCACTTCGACGCACGCAGCACTTTGATCGGACCCAGCCGGTCATTCCCAAGAGCAATGTCCAGAGTCCGAACGCACCGACATGGATCACTAGATCCGTCCGGCTGATCGGTCCCTTGATCGCAAGTCCCGGCCAATGCGTCGCGGTCAGCAGCGCGATCGTGTACATCACGAACGAAATCCGGAGGATGAGCTGGATCGTCATGGATCAGTCGCTCTGCATCGGGGCTGTCTGTGGATTGCCTCGCAGGACATTGATCTCCGCTTCGCTCAGCTCGGATGCTTTGATCGAAGCGAGCGCCCGATCCCATTCCGCGACGATCGAAGCGCCGAGCGCTTCGTAGTCCTGAGCTCCAGGCGCGCTGGGTTCGTATTGGAAGATCGTCTGCCCAAAGCTCGGACACTCCGCGAGCTTGATGTTCCGTCGGACTGGAGGCCTGTACACACGAGCACTCGCCCACGCGCTCCCGGTCTCGCGTCCAGACTCGAAGAAGCGTTCCAAGTCCGCAACAACCTCTCGTGAGTGCGTCGTCTGCTGTTCGTGCATGCACAGCACAACCCCAGCGACGCGGAGCTGTGGATTGACCTGCTGACGCACCAAACCCACAGTTTCGAGAAGCTTGCTCACGCCTTGGAGCGCGAGGAAGTGCGCCTGCATAGGAATCAGCACCTCGCTCGCGGATGCGAGCGCGTTGAGCGTGAGCAGTCCCAGCGCTGGAGGGCAATCGAAGAGCACAAACTCGTGGTCCGTGTCCCGCATCGACAGGGCTTTGGCGAGTCGATTGTTCCGATCCGCTGCCGAAGACAACTCCGTCTCCACCGCCGCGAGATCTGTCTCGGCGGGAATCAGATCAAGATTGTCGTCGATGTGCCGAATGCATCCAGAGATCCCTTGCTCTGGCTCCAGGAGCAGATCGTACACGGTGGGGTCGTCGTCCTCGTCGACACCAACATGGAGCGTCGCGTGCGCTTGGGGGTCCAGATCGACCAGCAGCACCTTGCGTCCCTGTCGAGCGATCGACGCCGCGAGGTTCACGGCGGTCGTGGTCTTGCCCACGCCTCCTTTTTGGTTCATCAACGCGATCGTGCGTACGGGATGCTCAAACTTCTGGTCCATAGCGTGAGTATACCAGAACCATCCGCTCCAAAGTGGACTGGAACAGGACGAATCGAGCGATTCAGACCCTACTTGATCGTCAGTTCCACAGGCAGACGAACGGTCACTGGCGCCATGCACTGGCTTTGATTGCAAGTCTGGAAAGTGATCCCCAGAACCGGTTTGCCAGGGGTCGGACCGATCCCATCCGCTTTCTCGATCGCGACTTCGAACTCGATCCGCCCGTGATGGATATTGATCTGTTGGTCTCCCTCACCAAAGGTCTCCCCTTCGGGATATTCCGCGTAGACCGCGATGCCTTGTCCTTCGATCAGTCCCACACGCAGCGGAATGAGCGATTTGCTCGCTTCACTCGATCCCGGATCCGCGGCGACGATATGGAACGGCTCATCAATCTCCAGCGCCACTGAGAACGAAGCAGGTGCGTCCTCTCCAACGCTGATCTGATCCTCCGAGACATACACGGAGACCGGATTCGCTCGAGGCGATGGAGCGTCGGAGGCGCCAGCAAAGTCGTACGCGCTCCCGATCCGCTCGCGATCCTTCATCATCGAGATCAATGCGCGCGTGGAGTTTGCGACACTGATCGGATTGGACGCGATGGATGCGGAAACACCTTGGAGCGTCTGGACTGACCACTCGACCCATCGATCCTCGCTCGCGATCCCGATCATCCGCGCGTAGTTGAGCGCCATCATCCCGACCCCTGATGGAGTCGCGCCGTCGTGGAGCGATCGCGGACGGATGAAGAGGTCCGCGCGATTTGCTCTGGTATCGTGGAACACTCCTGGTGTAGATTCAAACAGTTCGCGAGTCGTGATGAACAACCGCTCGATATCTGTCCAGAGTGGATCGTCATTGTCCGCAACTGCGAGATCGATCATCGCGGACAACAGCATCGTGTGATCCTCCAATCCCGCGGCGATCTCGCTCTTGTGCGCCCTCCATGAACGCGCCAGGTCGCCATCGGGAGTGCGCAATGTCTTGAGCATGAACGCGACCGCATGACGCGCCGCTTCAATGAACGAACGCTCGTTGAGCACAACCCCTGCACGGACCAGTCCCGAGACGAGCATCGCGTTCCAGCTGCAGACCACCTTGTCATCCGTTCCCGGCTGATCTCGCTTGCTGCGTGCTTCATACAAGGCTTCGTTGATACGATCGAGCCGATCAAGAAAGGATTCATTCGACATCCCAAGATCCGCGGCCACCAGTTCAGGACGCTTATCCAATCGCAGCACATTGCTCGCGGATTCGCTGGGATGATGTGGATCTTTGAAGTTGGTCCCGGCATCTAAGCCGTAGACACGGATCGCAAACTCCGCATCATCTGATTCGAGCACTTCTAAAATCTGCTCTTTGTTCCACAAGTAGTTCTGCCCCTCGCGATGATTCACTTCCGCGTCTTGAGCGCTGTAGAAACCGGTCGTTCCGGGATCGCTGCTCGGATCACGCATCTCGCGGAGTACATACTCCGCGGTTTTTCGTGCGATTCGACGATAGAAGTCGTCGTCGTACACCTCCGCGGCTCGCGCATACAGGTGCAACAACTGCCCGTTGTCATACAACATCTTCTCAAAGTGCGGAACCAACCAGAACTCATCGACGCTGTAACGATGGAATCCACCACCAACCTGATCGAAGATGCCCCCGATTCCCATGCGATCGAGCGTCAGCTTTACGCTCTGATCGATCGCGGCTTTCGTGTCCGCATCCACGATCGAACGAGCATCAAGCAGCAGTTCCATGAATACCGGCTGCGGGAACTTGGGCGCCCCTCCGAATCCGCCGTTGATCCGATCGAACATGCGGAGCAATCCACTCACCGATGCTTGGATGTGCTTCGCGCCGACCTGAACCGGTTGCTGCTGCGTGCTGACCTGCTCCGCAACCGCTGCAGCGAGTGCGTCGCTCTGTTCGAGGACCTCGTCTCGTTTGTCCTTGTATGCGCTCGCGAGCGACTGAAGCACTTGTGGAAACGAAGGGCGGTTGTACATCGGTTCAGGAGGGAAGTAAGTCCCACACCAGAACGGCTTGCGCTTCTCTGGTTCGAGGAACACCGACATGGGCCAACCACCTGATCCTGTCATGATGGTCGTTGCGGCCATGTACAGCTCGTCGATCTCTGGATGCTCCTCGCGATCGAGCTTGATGCACACGAAATGCTCGTTCATGATCTTCGCGATCGCTTCGCTCTCGAACGATTCGCGCTCCATCACATGACACCAATAGCATGTCGAGTATCCGATCGACAAGAACACGGGCACATCACGCTCACGCGCTTCAGCGAATGCTTCGTCGGACCACAAACGCCAACTCACAGGATTGTGCGCGTGCTGGAGCAGATACGGCGAAGTCGCATTGATCAACTCGTTCGTGTGCTTTGGATCAGATGTCGTCGCTTGTGTTTCCATTGTGAAGAGTCTAGGACTCAACCGATCGTCCAAGATCACAGATCGACACGATCAATCTCTCTGAAAAGAGCAGTCACAGCGGTGTGTCCATGCTGGAATACTTCATTCCCAACAGGTCCGATTTCTCCGGCCGCGAAAAAACCAGCAAGTGGGATCCCCCGATCTGTTGGGTTGAGCTCTCGTCCGGCTTTCGCGAGCTTTGGACCCTCTACGGGGAGCTCAAACGCATGACGGACGGCTCGTGCATCGTGCGCTGACTCACCAAAGAAGTCTTGCGTGCGCCCAGTGCACGACACAACCAGCGCTCCCTTGGGTCGATCGTAGAGCTGCTGAACATCAAGCAGCAGTGAAAGGTCTTCATCCGCTGTCTGTGCATCGTGAAGATGCGGCTGGATGGTCTGTCCGGCGCTGACGAGATCCGCGATCGCGAGCGCGCCGGATTCTTCATCGCCGCCGAGGATATTGCGGATGAGGAAGTCCCCTCGTCCGAAGCGTGATTTGTGCTCGTTGATAACGCGTCCGATGAGCAGCCCTTCTTCGAGGAGTTCACGATCGACTTCGTTGATCCCTTGGAGCGAATCGCGGATCGCATCGATCGCCGGTTTCCCGCCGAGCTCAAGAATCAGATTCCCGCGTGCTTTGGTGACCACCATCGGCTGACCAATGGGACGACATCCCTGCGAGACGATCGTGTCGACCTGGATATCACCAGAGAGCGTGATCCCCATCGCGCCATGATTACTGAGCTTGCCGTCGATGAAGAGCGTGTTGCCACCTGGGACTACTCCACCGGACGCCATTCCTCCCAACACTGTGCCGACACGCTGGACGGCACCGCTTGGATCTGTGTACTCATCCCTCGCTGCAGATAATGCGGGGACGAGATTCACCAGAGGCACGGAGAATGGATCGGCGAAGAAGAATGACGCCGCCATTTGATCATTGGCCCCGATGGTCTCACTGATCTTCGAAGCACGCTCGGCGGGATCTATTGGTCCCCATGTCGCATCAAGCGTGTATGGGTGTAGATCCACTCCCGGCAGATTCATCGCGAGCAATGAAATGCCAGGACCCTCGACGACTTCAGTGTCGTTGCACATGATCCCCGCCGCGGACACCATCAAGAGATGTTTCGGAGTGAGCGAGTCTCGAATAGCGTCAGCAATCATCCCGACGCGCTGCGCATAGCTTGATGTCACAAACCCAATAACGAGGTCTGCTGGAGTCCGGATGAACTGCTTTGTTCTTTCCGATGCATCAAGAGCCGCGCTCACTGGATCAGCGATCGTGGACAATCCCGAACCGATAGCAATGCCTGACCCATCACGCGAAACACCGCTTGGAGCAGATTCACGCTCTGAGTTTGATACATCCTTGGTCATTGCTTCGTTTACTGGCCCGGCATCAGCACAACTTTCGTTGGACTGAGAACTGTAAGCGCGAGCGCGTCATCTTCGACTGGATCGCCGATCACACCGACCACGCTTCCGAGGAACCGACGCAGGTCTTGATCGGGTTTGGGCGCAATGTACCCAACCGTACGCTCCATCCCAGTGATCGGATCAGGAACACGCACGCGATACATCAACGGCAGGTGCTCTCCGGTATACACACCTGACAGCATCAAGCGCCCAACCAGGTCGTACACACGAGAGTCATTCCACTGCTCGATCTTGCGATTGAGTTCAATCTGCTGCGTATCCGCGACCGCGAGCGCCTGAGCAATCGCACGGCGTTGATCGCGCGTCTCGATGCGGATCTTGATCCACTCAATCCGCTGTTCCAGCGGTTCGATCGACGGATCACCATCTTCGGCAGAATCACGAGCACGCGTGAACTCCGCGAGTAGTTCTGGGAGCGCCTCATCGAGCTGCTCGCGAGGCATCGTTCGTGCATTGGTGAATGATGCTTCGAGTGCTTCCAGACTCGATACAGTCAATCGATTCGAAGGGCGCGTGGCTTTCTCTGGATTCACTACAGGTGTGGAATCGCGCGTTTCAGGGATCGCGTTCTGTATTTCAACGGGCTGATTGTCCGTGTCGTCTTCAGTCACTTCCTCAGGGTCTGGAAGCGAGGTCTCAGGGATCACCTGCTCCTCACGAAGATCAATCGCCGGCTCGCGCTGCTCAGATTCCTGCTGCGACAGTTGTCCTGCGGCTTCCTCTTGGAGTTCTTTCGCAGAGTTTGTTGTGTCATCTGTTTTCCCAGGACCGGCACTCAAAGGTGGGCGTCCACTGGTGATCTGCTTGCCACCTTGGTGAGCCGCGATCTCGTCAGGTGTTGCATCACGCAGTGCATTCGTGCGGATGTATGCGTAGGGATAGGAATCCACAACAGGCGGACGAGGCGGCGCCACGCGGTATCCGCGTACTTGGTTCGTCGCTTGATCTCTGATGGTTTCCAGGACAGCCATCTCAATCCCAGTACTCAGCGGCTGAGCAAAGACTGGACACCACGAGCCATCCATACCCCGCAGTTGGGACTCTGCTTTGAGTTGCGTTTCGTTGATCAGTTGGACATGCAATCCCGCTTTGATCGTGCGAACATCCTCAGCGGCGACAAGCACTCCGAGCGATGCGGGATAACGGACCTTGCTGAAATCACCCGAGGTCCCATCGACGGCGACAACAGTACCTCGCTTGAACTCGGTGATCGTGTAGTAGATCTCCTGATCGCCGCAGCGAACGGGCTCGGTCTCGGAGGTCACGACCATCCACTTGGGTGCATTGTCCGATTGTGCGATCGCATCGTGCGAAGACATGCACAGCACGAGCAAAGTGCACATTAGTGCCGGGATTGCTCGTGCTGGATTGAATCGTGAAGTTTTGGTCAACATGGGTGTTCTCCCTTGCATTTGGGCCGGGGATCGTCGCTTCGGGTTCACCCAAGTGTATTCGCGCCATCGGCAAGAGTGCGGCTGATCTGCTCGGACGCTGCAACCTACGTATTCATGGGACCTATCGTTGGACAATGCGCATACATACCCCTCCCAATCGTGTGTTCTCCCGTCCAATCCTGCTCGCTGCTTCAGCATTGATGCTCAGTGCCGGTGGGTGCTCATCGCCATTCCAGAAGTCCACTGAGCAACAGTTGCGGCAAGCGATGGTCTACTCTGTCCAACGCGAGATCAATGCCGCGCGTGGTGATCAAGAGCAGACGAACCCAATCGAGTTGAGTCCTACAACCGATCTCACAAAGCTCGATATCCGAGAGGACCACCTCGAACAGATCCAGCGTGAGTTCTCGACCGATGGATACACCAAGCAACTCCAGGATTCTGACCCGCACGATGATCCGATCGCAGGATTGATCGGTTCCGATCTGTTGGGTCGAGACACAGTCCTGGTCCCAGTCTCCCTCCAAGGCGTAGTGCAAGCGAGCGTTGCGGGGAATCTTGATGTCGAGTTTGCGCAATATGGTCCAGCGATTTCCCAAGCTCAGCTTGTCGAAGCGGAAGCCGTATTCGATTGGACACTCTTCGGCAGTGCAGAAGGACGCGATAGCATCACACCACAGACTTCTGCAGCAGGATTCGGCACAGGGGTGATCCGAAACGAATCCGACAGCGCCACGGCAACGCTCGGCGTGCGTCGAAGCTTGACGACCGGTGGTTCGCTCTCTCTGCAGCACGACCTTGGATACACAAATGTGGAGTCCTCGTTCTTTGGAGCCGCGGATCCGAATCCGAGCAACTCATCGAGCTTTGTGCTTGGATACGAGCAGCCGCTGCTCGACGGATTCGGACGCGATCGTGTCCAAGCGGGCATCTATCTCGCTCGCAACGCAGAACGCAGCGCCGTCGCGGGACTCAAGAATCAACTCATCGCGTCCGCATCCGATACCGAACGAGCATACTGGCAGCTCGTCCTCGCATATAAGCAGGTCATTATCCGTGCCAAGCTCCTCGAGCGAGGCATCGAGGTCCGTGATGACATTAAAGCACGCCGTGTTCAGGATGCTCGACAAGCACAGGTCGCCGATGCGGTCGCGCGCGTCGAACGACGACGCTCTGATCTGCTCACCGCAAAGACCACACTCCGAAACGCGAGCGACAACCTCAAACGGCTCATGAACGACGATCGGATCCCAGTGGGTTCGGAAATCTTGCTTGTGCCTGGAGACGACTCCGCTGTGGAGACACTCTCGATCTCTCTGCTGGACGCGATTGATACCGGAATCCAGCATCGTCCTGAGGTTGAGCAATCGATCCTCGGCATCGACGATTCCACGATCCGCGAGAATGTCGCACGAAACGCGAAGCTCCCAACACTCAATCTCACGGCCCAAGCTCGGATGCTCGGACTCGCCGATTCGATCTCCGATGGATACGACGATGTGGTCTCGAATCGATTCATCGACGATTGGTTGATTGGATTGACCTTCGAGCAGCCCATCGGGAATCGTGCGGGAGAAGCGGGATTCCGCAGAGCACGATTAGAGCGCATGCAATCGATCGTCGGATACCGCCGCACGATCCAAGGCATCGTGCTTGATATCAAGAACGCACTCAACGCCGTGGTCACGAATCACGCGCTGATCTCACAATCGACGCTCTCACGCGTCGCGCAGGGAGAGGCACTCCGAGCGCTGATTGTCGAGAAAGAACTCACAAACGCTGGATACTCTGTCGAACGCTTGAACCTCGAGCTCAATCAGCAGGAATCACTCGCGAATGCGGAACTCGCTGAAGCGCAGGCGCTGGTCAACTACAACTCCGCGATGGTGGATCTGTACCAAGCGATGGGGACAACGCTCGATCGCAATCGGATCGACTTTATCGTCCCTGATGCGAACCAACTGAATCCGGGCGAATCGGTCGGCGAGTACAAGATCGACGAGCAGGATGACGCCGTCCAAGATGAGTCTGCGAACGATGACTGAGACGCTTGAGGGTCCTGAGGCAATCGTTGCCGCCGTTGCTCGTCTGGGACTTGGTGAACCGATCGCGTTCCCAACAGAGACTGTCTACGGCTTGGGCGCTGATGCTCTGGACGAAGACGCTGTCGCGCGGATCTTTGCGCTCAAGGGACGCCCGTCAACCAATCCGCTCATCGTTCATGTCTCTGGCGCCGAGATGGCGGACGAACTCGTGGAGGAATGGACGAATGAGGCACAACTGCTCGCTGACGCATTCTGGCCCGGCGCTCTCACATTGGTTCTCAACAAATCGGAACGAGTCCCTGACATCGTCACCGCTGGAGGACCAACTGTCGCCGTGCGATGTCCAGAACATCCGCTCGCGCTGGGACTCATCGAAGCGTACGGCAAACCGATCGTTGGTCCCAGCGCCAACCCATCCGGACGAATCTCCCCCACCACGGCGGAACATGTCGAGATGGGATTCGAGGGACAGGACCTGCTGATCCTCGACGGCGGGAGTTGTCGCGCGGGGATCGAATCCACGGTCGTCGATCTGACTTCCGAAGATCCTCGCGTACTGCGTCCCGGCGTCGTAACAGTTGCACAGATCGCACGCGTGCTTGATCGGGATGTGCGGATTGATCACCAGGAATCGGGGATTACCAAATCCCCAGGAGTGCTGGGAGCGCACTATCAACCGACCAAGCCGACGCGACTTGTATCAAGCGATGAGGTCGCTCAATCCGGACCAGATATCTTCGTGATCGCGTGGTCAATCGAGGTTTTGGGCGATTCGCACAGTGGACATCTTCTCCCAGCTGACCCGCACGGATTCGCGCGTGGTCTGTATAACGCGATGCACGAGGGAGATCTTTCTACCGCATCCCAGATATGGATCGAGCACCCTCCGAAATCAGACGAAATAGGAGCAGAAGATGCTCAAATCTGGCACGCGATCATGGAAAGATTGACCCGCGCGTGTCAATAGTACATGAGGAGGAATCTGAACCATGTCCACACACGCAACCGCTGATCAACCCGCTACGCACAAGGGAACACATATGTCGTCGAAACTCTCTATCGCTCTCGCTCCTGGTGACGGGATCGGACCTGAAATCACCCAAGCATGTCTCAAGGTCTTCGAAGCCGCGGGCGTGATGGACCATGTGGACTTCGTCGAAGTCTCGATGGGTGAAAAAGAGTTCAACGCCGGAAACTCCTCAGGGATCGCGGACGATGCGATCCAAGCGGTTGAGAATCTCGGGATCCTCTACAAGGGACCGATGGGCACTCCAACTGGTGGCGGAGGCAAGTCCATCAATGTCACGCTCCGCAAAGCGTTCGGAGCGTTCGCGAATCTGCGTCATTTCCAGACCCTCCCAGGCGTTGAAACGGTCTACTCCAAAGCCGGGTACGACATCGATTTCCATGTCGTCCGCGAGAATGTCGAAGACACCTACGGCGGGATCGAGCACCGACTCCTCACTGATGTCGTCCAGAACCTGCGCCTCATCACGGCTCCTGGATCCGACCAGGTCCACAAGTTCGCGTTCGAGACCGCTCGCTCGCTCGGACTCGAGAAGATCTACTGTGGACATAAAGCGAACATCATGAAGCTCACCGACGGCATGTTCCTCAACCGATTCCACAAGGTCGGCGAGGCATATCCAGAAATCGAGCGCGGCGAAGTCATCGTCGATGCGCTGTGCATGAACATGGTCATGTACCCAGATCGCTACGACATGATCGTGCTCCCAAACCTTCAGGGCGACATCGTGTCCGACCTCGCGGCTGGACTTGTCGGTGGTCTCGGTTTCGCACCAAGCGCCAACATCGGTGATCGCATCGCGATCTTCGAAGCCGTCCACGGCACCGCGCCTGACATCGCGGGCAAGGGCATCGCGAACCCAACCTCTCTGCTCCTCTCCGGAGTCATGATGCTCCGTCACATCGGTCTGGGAGCAATAGCCGCGAAGATCAACAACGCGCTGCTCGCGACACTCGAAGACGGCGTGCACACTGGAGATGTGAAGGGTGAAGGAGATCCTGTCGGAACCATCGCGTTCGCAGACGCGATCGTCGAGCGCATAGGACAAGCACCAAAGTCCGCGAAAGCGAAGAACTGGGTCGGCGATTCGGTTACCTTCAAACCACAAGGGACTCCGAGTGAGTACGAGATGATGTACGCGGAGCCGGAAGCCAAGATCGAGCATGTTGGTTGCGACATCTACCTCGGCGCCCGCAAGAAGCCGAGCGAGATTGTCCCGACACTCGAAGCCTGCTGCGAAGGGACACCGCTCAAACTCAGCTTGATCTCCGCTCGCGGCACCAAGGTTTGGCCGACCGGTTCGCTCTACACCGAATGTGTCGAGCACCATCGCTGCCGATTCGAGCAGCGTGACGAGAGCACCCCTGTTGATCCAAAAGTCGGCATCGAGATCATGCACAAGGTCGCAGAACACTTCGAGATCGCGTGCTACATCCCGCTCAAAAACTTCAATGGAGATCGCGGCTACCTGCTCGCACAGGGTCAGTAATCACTGATTCCTGACATTCCATTTTGATCCAACAGAAAAAGAAGTCCATCACCCAATCCGGATGATGGACTTCTTATCTTTTTGATACATCGCGTGATGAGTAATCGAAGTGATCAGCGACGGCGGCGCGTCGCGAGGATCCCAGTCATTCCTAGAATCGCTGCGGAACTCGGAGCAGGCACAGCGCGGACCAAGAAGTGACCGTGCTCAGAACTGGCAACATTATCCAAGACAGTGTGACCCTTCGAAACGGGTTCAAACTCGTTTGTTTCGAAATTACGAAAGAACCCGATGCTGTTGGCGAGGTGCCTGGTTGTTCCATCAGCAGTGCCCGTGATCCCTTGGGCAAGCTCACCATCACCAAAGCTATCGAATGTTACTCCGAGTGAATGGATCAGGGAACTCACATTCCCGCTTGGGCTCGGATCCGAACCATTAAAGACGATCCCAGCGCTTGCTACGAGCGCGAAGTATTCCGCACGCGTTGCATGTCTCCATCCGTCGTACAGTCCGCCGGACGCGAGGTGCATCGAGACCATGTCGTCGTATGAGATGTCAGTTGTCATTGTCAGATCTAGATATTCCAACCCATTGGTCACATCCACAGTAACTGTTCTGTCACCAAACTCTGAATCTGCGTTATAGATCACTTCCGCAATCGACATAGTCGCAGTCACAGCAATCAACCCACCCGCAGCGGGTGCAATCAACCTCATCATTGTTATCTCCTCAATTCGTATTAATAATTCACATGAACAACACCCAAATGTACACTATTTGAGCGTGCAGGCAAACAAAAAAATCATTGGGACTGTGCACAATTAAACACTTTTCATAATTGAGGTCTTAACTCCAAAGGCTCAACAACCCCAACAACTGCATTGGCATCCCCAGTAATAAATGCTCGGTGGACACCCTCTGATACTTCTTCATGCGTCAACCATCTCGATCTCCCCCCAAGGATCACAAAGCCAAGCTTTACGATCCGTTCTGATACATCCGAATCTTGTGTCGGCTCATACGATGACCCCACCACTCGACAGCGATCGATGCTCGCATAGCGACGATGGATCAAATCAATCGCTCCTTGTCCGCTGCTTCGGATCCAGTAGAGAATCGCGGACACATGCGTCCCTGCACGATCAAGTGCTTGCTCCAACGCATCGAGATCGTGATAATCGCAGCTTGCTGTGGTCAACTGACCCGAGCTCCCAGCACCCAACGCATCGAGCTTGTGCTGTGAGCGTGCGATCGCGTGGACACGCCATCCCTCATCGAGGAGCTTTCGTGTGCATCCGGCAAGCATCCCGCTCGTTCCGACACAGATCACTGTGCCTTGCTCCGGATGCAGTGGGTAAGCCGACATACAGGATCGTATCCTGCCAGTCTGGCAGCCCCTGTGCCTCTGAGTGCGATTCTGTACTCAATAAGCCGATAGTTTTCTCCCAGATCGCCCCAATGACCGGAATTCTGAGGACCTAGACCACAGAGTTTGGCACGGCTCTTGCAAACTACTCCAGCAACCACAACTTGCATTTATCCTGCGAGTCCGCTCGTGGGAGTCGGAAAGGAGCATCACTATGGGCAAAATCATCGGAATCGACCTTGGGACCACCAACTCGGTCGTCGCCGTCATGGAAGGCGACACCCCCAAAGTCCTCATCAATAGTTCAGGCAATCGAACCACCCCCTCCGTTGTCGGATTCACTGACAAGGGAGAGCGACTCGTTGGTCAGCAAGCGAAGCACCAGCAGGTCACCAATCCGAAGAACACCGTGTTCTCCATCAAACGATTCATGGGCCGTCGCCACAGCGAGGTGAGCTCAGAAGAGAAACTCATCCCATACGAACTCACAGGCGGCGCAGATGACTTCGTCCAAGTCAAAGTCCGGGACGAAGAGTTCACTCCGCAGCAGATCTCCGCGATGATCCTCGGAGAACTCAAGCGCACCGCAGAAGACTACCTCGGCGAAGCCGTCACCGAAGCGGTCATCACCGTCCCTGCATACTTCAACGACGCGCAGCGTCAAGCGACCAAGGACGCTGGAGAGATTGCGGGACTCACAGTCAAACGCATCATCAACGAACCAACCGCGGCAGCGCTCGCGTACGGGCTTGAAAAGAAATCCAACAAGAAGATCGCGGTCTTCGACCTCGGCGGCGGCACCTTCGATGTCTCCGTCATGGAGATCGGTGACGACGGCGACGGCGGATCGGTCTTCGAGGTCCTCTCGACCAACGGCGATACCCATCTCGGTGGTGACGACTGGGACCAGCGCCTCATCGACTTCCTCGCTGAAGAGTTCCGCAAGAAAGAAGGCGTGGACCTGACCAGCGACGCGATGGCGATGCAGCGCCTCAAGGAAGCCGCTGAAAAAGCGAAGATCGAGCTTTCCAACTCTCAGGAAACCACGATCAACCTGCCATTCATCACCGCGACCGATTCGGGACCAAAGCACCTCCAGGAAACCCTGAGCCGAGCGAAGTTCGAAGACCTGTGTGATGATCTCTTTAATCGACTCAAGGCACCGTGTCAGAACGCTCTGAGCGACGCGAAGATCGACATCTCCAAGATCGACGAGGTCGTTCTGGTTGGTGGTTCGACACGCATGCCAAAGGTCCAAGAGATCGCGAAGGAGATCTTCGGGAAAGATCCCAATAAGTCCGTGAACCCTGACGAAGTCGTCGCGATCGGCGCCGCTGTTCAAGGTGGCGTGCTGACCGGTGATGTCAAGGATGTCCTCCTCCTCGATGTGACCCCACTCTCGCTCGGTGTCGAGACCATGGGTGGCGTGATGACCAAGCTCATCGAACGCAACACCACCATCCCGACCACCAAGACCGAAACCTTCTCAACCGCGGCGGACAATCAGCCCTCTGTGCAGATCCATGTCCTCCAAGGCGAGCGTGAGTTCGCGAAAGACAACCGCACACTCGGCATGTTCGAGCTCGCGGACATCGCTCCCGCTCCTCGCGGTGTGCCTCAGATCGAGGTCGAGTTCAAGATCGACGCGAACGGCATCCTCGAGGTCTCCGCGACCGACAAGGGAACTGGAAAGAAAGCCGACATCCGCATCGAAGGTTCGGGTGGCCTCTCCGATGACGAAATCAACAAGATGAAGTCCGACGCCGAGGCGCATGCTGAAGAAGACAAGAAGCGCCGCGAGCTCGTTGATCTCAAGAACAAAGCAGACGCGATGGTCGCACAGACCCGAAAGTCGCTCGAAGAGCACGGCGACAAGGTCTCAGCGGATGTCCGCTCGAAGATCGAGACGGCCGCATCAGCGCTCGAAGAGAAGATCAAGAACGAGAATGTCACCAAGGAAGAGATCGAGCCCGCACTCAAGGAACTCGAAACCGCTTCCATGGAACTCGGGAAGGTCATCTACGAGCAAGCCGCAGCTGAAGCACAGAACGCGCAGCCCGCCGCGGACGGCGCGAATGTCGAAGGCGATGTGATCGACGGCGAGTTCGAAGTCAACGACGACAAGAACTAAAGCGAGTCTTTAAACCAAACCCAAACCCGCTCCTCATGGAGCGGTTTTTTTATTTGGTACTTGGAATCGGCAATCCATCGCGTGTCCACAAGATCGACAACGGCACTCGACTGCGAGGGGGCAACGCGAGCGTCACAACCACTCGCGCGACTTTGCGACCGATCCAGATCCCGAACGCGAGCACGAGGAACTGATACGCGAACAAGATCGGCGCGATCAGCGGCGCGTACATGCTCACGGCGATGCTTTGGCCGTAGACATAAGTCCGATCCGGCGCATGGATCGCGAGGACGATCACGAGTCCGATGGTGCACGCAACAAGTGGTAACAACAGCGCTTTCTTCCGCGTCGCGCCGAGCAACACAACGCTCCAGAAGATTCCGAAGAGCGTGCCGACGATGGTCATTGGGACGAGGAAGATCAGGAACTCACGATTGACATTCGCCCATAGTCCACCATTGAGTGCGATCGTGTCATCAAGATAAGCATCACGCCATTCGTTGGTGATGCTCGTCCATCGTCCGCCGCTCGAGCTTCCAGTGGATGGAGCCATTGGGACCCCATTGATCGTGGTCACCCCATTGCTATTGGTGATGATCGTCGTGCCTGGCGCGTTGAGTGCCGCGAGCGGATCGATGGGTGCCGCTGGTTGAGTTGATGTCGGATCAGCTTGCGTATCGCCTGCACCCTCTGCTTCCATCGCTTTGAGCTTGATGAGCTTCTCGTCTTCCCAGTTCTGGTGCGCCTGTCCGATCAGATTCCCCATGTGCCGAGCGCCCTCATCGCACGCCGCGCCGGTCATTCCTGAGATCGCTCCGGTGTTTCCAACAAAGAATGCGAGCAGCACCACCACCCAAATCGCGGCGATCAACGCTCGGAATCGGTTCACCCAGTGTGTCATTGTCGGATACTGCTGGAGCGCCGCGACTGTGCCGCATTCTGGACATCGACAGATCGCTAAGCCGTAGTGCTCTTCCTTTGTCACCGGCTGTGCGTAGAGATTGAATCCGCACCCGATGCACGCACGATCGGCACGGATCTCGTCGAACTGCTCAGGAATCTGCTGTTGCTCAGTCATTGCTTCCCCTCTGCTTGCGTTTTCTTCGCAGCACGCGTCTAAATCTTCGTCGCGGAGTGTCATTGATGGTCTTCCGGAGCACAATTGCTGGAATGATCCCGATCATCGAAACACTCAACAGATATCCGAAACGCTGGAACCGATCGATCATCTCTGATCCGCTTGGCATGTGCACACCAAAGTCAAAGTCCGCGATCGTTGCGATTAGGTGCATCGCGCCGGTCGTCATGAAATCGATCGTGATAAAGAACAACGAGAGCACAATCAGAACGAGCGCTCCAAAGAACACTCTTCGATGACTCATCAGCATCGACACAACCATCATCAGGAATACTGATCCGCCGAGGACTGATACGCCACCAATGAGATAGTCCACATCCCCGATTGCGAAGGGATACACCGGATCGAATCGTCCGCCTGGAGAGAACAGCTCGTCGCTCACCATCACGAGCATCCAGAACAGGAGCGATGAACCAACGATCAGCGCCAATCGGAGGAACAAGCTCCGTAAGCTGCCGTGCAATCTTCGGAACTCTCTCCAGTATTGGATGTCGGGATGTCGAGTCCGCACTGAAGCGTGCTCACAGCGTGGGCACACCACGATCGGGAGCGCGTAATGCGGATCTGGGATCGCGCGAATCTTCGCGAGTTCCTTCAAACAGGATGGACAGGTATGGGATCGGGGCACTCTGTGATTCTACGGAAAACTGCTGATCCTGTTGCATCGAGGTTGACATCACGCCGGATCGCTCCTTTGCTCACGCTCCGGTGGGGACCCGGCGAACAACCCAAAGCACGAGCTCGCCCTCGTTTACATCTCAGACCACGACCTCGGAGGATCCAAGTCATGTTCATTTCTCTGCGCCATACTTCTTTGATCACGGCGACCATCCTGCTCGTCAGCGGCACCGCACATGCGAGCAGCACCGAATCCGCGCGTGAAGCCGCGATCGCTCGGCTCGAAGCGGCACAGCTCGCACTGGAAGCCGCTCAAGCGGAACTCGCCGCGGCTCAAGCAGAAGCAGCGATGTACGCAGAATCGACCACCACCTCCGCAGCAAGCACATCCAAGGCTACTGAATCTTCGTCCCAACCCGAATCGTCAGATGCTGAGGACGCATCAGATGCCGCTCAGGATCTCGCGTGGAACGAGGGGTGGGACTACACCTTCAGTGCCGGGATCTCTGGCGCTTCAGGCAACAACGAGAACTTCGCTGGACGCATCACACTCGGAGGTGAGCGCCTGACGGATGCGATGGAAACACGCGCTCACGCGTCGTACCTCTACTCAACCTCCGAAGGACAACGCTCCGCATCACGAGGTGAACTCGGCATCAAAAACGATTGGCTCCTCGAAGGTCCATGGCGCTACTTTGTGCAGGGACTCTACGAGTACGACGAGTTCCAAGCATGGCAGCATCGTCTGAGCGGAGCCGTGGGTGTGGGGTACGAGTTCATCAACGACGACACCACCACACTCATCGGACGCGTCGGTGTTGGTGGTTCGTATGAGTTCGGCAAAAACGCCGACGAGACCTTCGTCCCAGAAGGACTCCTCGGACTCGACTGGACCCACAAGCTCAGCGCCAACACCAAGCTGACCGCGAGCACGACCTACTACCCAAGCTTCGACGACTTCGGCGAGTTCCGCTGGGTCAACTCCGCCGGGATCGAGGTCCTGCTTGATGAAGAATCCGGTATGACCATGAATGCCGGGATCGAGCACCGTCACGATTCGCAGCCAGGTCAGGGGATCCGTCCGAACGATGTGGATTACTACATGGGTGTGGGCTGGAAGTTCTGAACCATTTCAATCATCTGCCTGATTGGCTACGGTCAAGTCTCCGTCTTGTAGAAACGCAGAGCCGCACTCAGGACATGGTGCGCCCTCTGGCAATCCAGCGATCGGATACGCACACTGCTGGCACACCGAGCGATCAATTGGTCCGCCGATCAACGGACGTGGACTCCAAGACATCATCCAGCAATAGGTTGGGAACATCAACAAATGCCAGAGCCCGATGCTCTGGGGAAGCCCCCAATCACTACTGTTCCCAATCCTCATCTCCATCGCGACGATCATCCCTGCATTGCTGAGCACGCCCGCGATCGCGAAAAACACAATCGCGATCGGTCTCCGCACAGCCCACGAGACCACAACCCCCCATAGAAACGAACATACAAATGGCGAGCCAATGCTCACAACAAGCACTACCCCCATAAAGCCCCAAATCGGAAAGAGCAAACAAACGATGGTCGCGACAACCATTTTCCAGATTGGGGTACGCGACATGATCATCGCAGGCACAAATACGACTGCGTGTGTAAGCCCGAGTAGGAATATCCAGCCACTCCACCTAAAAGGCAAATCAGAAAATGGAATCAAAACTCCAGCGGCAGCGCTGATCCCCGCAAACACGCTCAATACTCGCAAGTTGCACTCTGCGTTTGCACCCGACATGAGTGACGAAGATTGGTTTACCCCGTCACACACCATCGGTTCCCATCCCGCTGCACCCTTCGGTACAGCGTATCACGCTCGACCGCTTCGTACCCCGCTTCGTTGATCGCTTCGACCAGATCGCGTTCCGTGGTCTCTTGGTGCGTGCCTTCCCCCACCGCTTTAGTGATGTCGTACCAGACGACGGTGCCGTCGATGTCGTCGGCGCCCGCTTCGAGCATGACCTGCGCCATCGGGAGGGTCTGCATGATCCAGAACGCTTTGACGTGCGGGAAGTTGTCGAGCATCAATCGCGTCACGGCGATCGTGCGCAGGTTCTCCAGTCCTCCTGGACCGCTCAGGTGCTCAAGCTCCGAACCATCCGGGAAGAACGGCAGCGGCGTGATGGTCTGGTAGTACCCACCTCGCTCGGACATTGCTGGAGTCGGGAGCGTGACGCCGTCTTTGTTGAGCGTGATGACCGGCGCGGTGATCTGCTCGGATTCCTCGATCCCGTCCGCGATGTACGCGTCCGGATCACCCTCGTATCCGAGGCGCTCGAGCGCTTGGTCTTGCGAGCGGCGCAGGATCTCCATATGGCGCAGACGCTCGCGCCGCTTGTCCACGTGTCCGTACAGCATCGTGCAGTTGGAGTTGAGTCCAACCTCGTGTGCCACAAGATGGACATCAAGCCATTCGTGGGCACCGATCTTAGTTTTGAACGCTTCCTGGTGGACGCGTTCATCAAACACCTCCGCGCCACCACCAGGAAGTGATCCGAGACCGGCTTCTTTCAGACGTTCAAGCACCCACCGCACACCCGATTTGGGATCGTCCTTTTTATACACCTTCGCGATGCGCGCCAGGTGCACGAGTTCGACCGCCGTGAATGCTTTGAGGTGCACATTGGGCGCAACCTCCGTCAGCGCCTTGAGCATGTCGGTGTAGTACTCGAACGGCAGGTACGGATTCAAGCCCCCAACAATGTGCATCTCCGTCGCGCCCGATTCCGCGGCTTTGCGTCCCTCCGCACGGATGTACTCCAGATCGCGCGTGTACTCGCCGTCCTGCCCCTTCTTGCGATAGAACTCGCAGAACTTGCACGAGAGCGCGCAGACGTTCGAATAGTTGAGGTGACGATTGATGTTGTAGTATGCGACGCCGGGATGCATCCGATCGCGGACCTGCTTCGCGAGATCGAGCACTGTCCAGATGTCGTTGGTCGTGTACAGCGTCCATCCCTCGTCGAGCGTGAGGCGCTCGCCGCGCTGGACTTTCTCCGCGATCGGGATCAGCGCGGGATCACTGTTGAGGAGTGTGCTCGGATTGGATTCAAGAGTTGTCATAGAGCGTTAATCCAGCTGGAGTTCCTTGATCAACTCGATGATGGATTGCACGGCGTGTCCACGATGAGAGATCTTGTTCTTATGTTCAGGTTCGAGCTCCGCGCTCGTGTAGATGTAATCTTCAGCGACCAAAAAG